ACATAGATCAAGTTCAGTGTTTGCGGTAAATTATGTAAACATGTCTATTTCTAACTCTGCTACCTTAGAAAACAGGGGGTTTGAGCTCTCTCAGATTACACATACACAAACCTTCTTCAGATATGGTCCTAGCATGCTAGTCATAATGAGAGTTTTGTAAACGACTGCACACAGGCTCCACACAAAAATACACATAAAACTTCACACTTTCACATTATAAGACCCGTACCGTATTAGATATAGCAAGACACTGTAACGGAACTGTATACGCAAGTGAATCGATTTACTTTCCTCGGCAATCGACATCACATGTATGGTTCATCGCGTGAGTTCCGCTATAAATTATTTAATTCCAAATATACAGAGGGCATAGTTACATACTCCTCATCTTGGCCGACACATTGGCTTCAACAGGAACCTGCAATCAGAACAATACATGTTTGATGTATCTTTCATGGATTCATTTAAAATGCATTATTAATTTCACATCGTAATTGGTCTTACTGTAATTATATGATGGCATTGCAAACATTACAATAAGATATTGTGATTAAAAGATAATTTGCATTCAATTTTCCTCATTCAGCTGACGTAAAGTTGCTTTTTAAGTGTTGTGCAACACACATACAATGTTGATGTTTACTTCCATAGCCTAAAATACATTTTTTAAACCAATTTCATTACTAATGTTAGGAAATTGATCTTATTCTTAGATATCATAGATTCATTATAACCAAAATGCCTTGGCAAATACTTAGATTTAGTGCCATTTCTTCGAGCATCTGAGCAGAACCATTACAACAGCTCTAAATCCTACAGCTAACATAAACGTCGCAAGTTGTGCAGTTGTGCTTATCACAACAGTCAGGTAGTAAGACCTAAACAACGTTTGAAGCTCAGGGATACACCAAACTGTCCCGTCTCGATCAACATTCGCTGAAGTTATGGTGTCTGCAACTGTTAAACTAGGACAGATCCAGGATTTGCTTAATAGATATAAAAAGTTCCAGCAATTAATGACAAAACATCTTCGTTTACAGATAGATGAGGTGAAGTCTTTGCCCTTCCTTCCCAAATCAGTATTCGTGATTTATGTTTGTATAGGACACAAAATATATGGCAATTGTTCTGAGCACCTTTATGCCTGTTTTTGCAAATACGTATTTTAAATAATAAAAGTATATTACTGGGCATAAATGTCAGTGTACATTATAATTATATGAGCCCCAGTCCCGACCTCACAGAAGAGACATAGGTACATTCATCACGAAGAGGTGGAATTTGTCCCTGGTACCCATTGCTTGTTTCTCATTCCTGATTCAGCAACAGAGAAAGAGACTTGTATGTTAATGCTCCTCTATATACCGCGTATCCATGGAATCTGTAAGTTCCTCGTGTTAGCCCTGATAAAAATGGAGCCATCCGTCAACCATTAAGATTAAAGCAGCTGAGGGACAGTCTTATCACGAAGTTAATGCCATGTGTCGAAATTAATTCGGGTCTACAACTTACGTCACTGTACGTCCGACCTCAATGGAGAGAGGTATCTTTGCTTATCCAGTTTAAGACATATATTTCCTTCAGAAGGGCCAACGTGCGTATATAATAGTGCTTTACATTTCTTGGGGTTTTTTTCAACTGTAAAAAAGCTGGAGACAAATATAGATGGTTTGCATGTAGATTGCTATCTTGTTAGCCTGTACAGAGTACATCTGTGTAAAGCCGACCCGCAATGTGCGTGCCCCAGTTAAGGCATCTTGATATGAACAGAAGTTATCAGTGAAATCTTCCTTACATTAAGTTGCTTTGGCATGGTCCATGTTTTATCGTAGCTCTGAGTTAGAGCTGAGATTCCAGTCAGTGCTTGTTTGATACGACCCCTATAGCTCTGTCAGAAGCAGTCCCTACCCCCAACAACCCTCCCTTACTCACCCTCCCCAGATACACCCTCTCCTCAGCGTATAAAGTATCAACAGCTCTTTCTCCTTTACCCTTTTCTTTGATGACTTCATCTGAATTTCCGCTTTTCATGACAAGTAGATCTCTAGTAAACCATAGGTGGTTTCACTTCCTTTCAGTGGTAGGCGGACTGCTCAAAGCTGTTACAGAGGTCCGCTAGCTTCCATGTGGATTTCTATTTTAACAGCACATTCACTGACAGATGGGTGCGTTATTTTACAAAAGTTCCACTCACCTGAAAATCGTGGAACACACGGACAATAATTTACTAACATTCGACAGATAAACCGTGAAACATACTGACGATATTTATACAACAGTCAATTGTCCATACGCTTAAGTGGAGGTTATTTTTCCAACATTCGACAGATCAACCTTAAAACACATTGACGATATTTATACAACAGTCGACTGGCCATACGCTTAAGTGGAATTTTGTTTTAAATAAACAAACAACTAACCTACCTTCGACTAATATAAACAAAGCTAAATTAGTAATATTCGGGGGAGGACCATCAAAATTCATTTGGATGGGAAATTACATGAAATAGTTGATAGTTATACCCACCTCGGTATAACGCTCCATAGAAATAGAAAACTCGTATCAAGTATTAAAACTGTAAGCAATAGTGACTCAAAAGCAATGTATAGTTTAATGAAAAAAGCTAGAAAGTTAGACCTGCCTTAAGACTGTTTCTTGTTAGCATTTGACTTAATGGTAGTACCTGTCTTGACCTATGGTGCAGAAGTCTGGTCTTTCGAAAACCTTGAAATTTAGGAGAAAATTCATTTAAAATTCTTAAGACTCATTACAGGATTAAGAAATTCAACCCCTCGTTTAATGCTGTATGGGGAACTAGGAAGATTCCCAATTAGAATTATGATATATAAACGTTTATTAAACTTTTGGCACAAGTTAACTGACCAAGAAGGTGTTTTTAAGCTTACGAACTTAATTTACAAGTATTTATCACTTCAAAGATCAATAGATAAAAAAGATAATCCCTGGCTCTCGCACGTAAAAAATATATTTGACAATATTGGACTCTCGTATGTTTTTGAAAATCCCTCAGTTTGTACTACCCAGTGCCTGGCCTCAAAAGTTGAACATATTCTTAAAGATCAATTTATCCAAAACTGGCACAATGACATTATTTCTAGTCCCAAGGGTATACACTATCAGCACCTAAAGCCATTTCCCAATTTTGATGTATATCTCCTCCTTCCAAAACGCATTTCTTTACCATTATTGAGATTTTGAACATGTAACCATAGTTTACCTATTGAGACGGGCCGCTGGTATAATATTCCAAGGGGCGAGAGAACGTGTCAACTATGCACTTCTAAAAGCATCGCAGATGAATACCACTATATTTTTCATTGCAAAGCATTAGATACTTTGAGGAAACAATATTTACCCTCCCATCTAACCTCTTTTCCCAAGGAAACAAAGTTCACGAAATTTTTGTCTGTAAAAACATCTCGAGACATAGTAAATCTATCAAAATATATCCTACATCTATCATCTCTTGTCAGAAAAAAATGTTAATATGTTGTTTACTTCCATCTTGAATTTGAATTTGTATTTGTATATATGTTTACAATATATGCTCTTGTACCACCAAGGTGGTTTATGAGAATAAAGAATTGAAAATTGACTACACGGACCTCAAACCACGATTCATGTTAGCCGTCAGGATGCATGGATAAATAGCCACGACACGGAGGCTCAAATATTCTTCATCTGTTTTACAGTTAATACTTGTATAAAGACCATGCGCGGATAATGTCTTGTGGACCTGGTACATACCAACACCGAGAATTGTCGAACTAAGACGATATTGTACACGTGTTCCTATTTTAGAGATGGGGGTTCTCTCTTTAGATAGACGCCCTTTATTCGCAGCTGTCCAATCCAGTTACATTTATAACTGTGCATGTGATGTGAAAGAGAGAGAGAGAGAGAGAGAGAGAGAGAGAGAGAGAGAGAGAGAGAGAGAGAGAGAGAGAGAGAGAGAGAGAGAGAGAGAGAGAGAGAGAGAGAGAAAGAGAGAGAGAAATACACACCCAAAGAGCTCGACAGGTATCCTTCTAAGATAGAGGCTTTTTGTTTACAAAAATCCACACCCTCTGTCTATGCCTCCATTTGAAAGAATACGGTATTAAACAAGGAAGTTGAAAGCATGTCACACTAAACCGACTGCACACGTAACAGGCGGGATCGTATTGCCGACACTTCGTAAGCGCGGAGAATTAGAAACAAAAAGGTGTCCTGTTTCTTATGAACTGCCAGCTGTGATATACGAATTACCGCATCTGCGCACACTGCCTATTCATAACCTGCCCCGCCCGCTTGACAGCCTCACACGTAGACCCATAGACTAACAGCTCGACTAGTAGACCTACATCACAGCAACCAGGTTCTTCCACCGACTCACATCAGCACGCATGCATCAGAGCCAACAAATAAAAACAAATCACGTATTTATGCTCGTGACTAACTTCTTATTTTTTTCAGCTCAACAACGAAATAATTGGTTACAAATAAACAGATGAGTCCGTCTCTTACTTGCTAACAGGAAGCGTTTTTTGGTAACTTTTTCAAACCAGTTTAGAAAATTACTCCCAACGGAAATCTAGTGATGTGGTTTAAACAATTACGATGTAGCTGTAAGTAGTGTTGCATCCACTATGTGTTTGTGTAAAACATATAATTATAGAAGTGTACTATAAGCATAATGAAAAATGTTGGCAATGTTGTGACGGTGATCAAAAATCTTCTCTTTTTAAGATTGATAGGTGTTCTTGTGATTGATAGCTGTTTTCACTCTATAGTTTTCAGCGAATTATCTTTTATTGTGTCTTTATGGAGGGGTGGGGGTGGGTAGGGGCGAGGGGGAGTACAGGGGGATCACACACTCCCCCTCTTTCTCCACCCCTGAAACTAACTTTATTAAAAAGACGTAGGGTGTTTTGCGCGGGGGATTGGCATGCCTATCTTGTGTTGTCACTGCACTATAGTTGTACATACAGAGCCGGGAACTACCGCTAGTACTGTGGGGAAGAGGAAGCGATATCGTTCAGGGCGAGTAAGTGGGACAACTCGGCCGTCATTAACAAGAAAAAATACTTTAACAGCTACTTCCCATTTGCCCTGGCAGTTACACACACACGCAACGGGATCGCTAATTTCATCTGGAAACTCAACTCGCATTCAAAGGTAAGGTACCTCTCTTGGGATATTTGGCTCGTAGTCCTTGTGCGAATGTCATGGTGATAAGAGTGGTGTTTGGGAGACATCACAATAGCGCTCCGTGGGCACTTCGTTCCCTCACGGCTCGCCCATATAGCCAGATAATTGCCTTCTCTGTTATAACGTTGTGGGAACGTCGACTCAATAGTCACACGTACATTCCTATGGGAGATACATCTTCCCTGTTGTACCGCCACTATCAGTGTTGGCATCATCGTCATCATCGTCGTCGTCGTCATCATCGTCGTCGTCGTCGTCGTCGTCATCATCATCATCATCATCATCATCATTACAATTATGTATGGTATCGTATTGTCGTATTATATTAGTATGAAAACAAGTTGCGTTGGTACCTGTAGTAGCCATAATAGTACCTTATAGTAATCTTATTTTTCCGCCTTTTTTATTCTTGACAGTAGCCTTCGACTAGTAATATCATCATCATATTGACATCATTACAATCAATAACAGTACAGTGGTTGTGTTAGTTAAAATGTATAGTCACGTGGGCTGTATAATCATCGTTGTTGTGCAGATCACTTGAAATATTCTACCACATCATACGCTTACAAAACTATTATAAACACGTTTGTTTGTAACGAATATCGGTATTACACATTTACGTGTTATTTAACATGCGTCTATATCACATACCATCGATGATCGGACGTGTTGTGAATGCCTTCTCGACGTCGACGCACTTGTTATCAGATGAACATCTACACTGTTTCCTTTCATGACGACTCCATGTGATGACTTCAGATCCTGATTGGAAATGCCACAGCTTTATTTCAGTCTGAACAAGTAGGGCTTACTTGAAACTCGACATTTTCTGTCTACGTTGACTGATGTGTGGGAGGAAATATTGGACATGCATAGAATATGGTCACACTTCACCAAATAGGTTGGCAAGAGGGGTATACCGGTGTACTCACCAATACGTTGTAAATGTCAGTCTATGTGTATGTGTTGGGGATTGTGTCCCTGAACTCACTTTAACATGTCAGTTACACTGTGTATGTTGGGTTTCTTCTACAGAGTGATATTGGACGTTCTGTATGTAATATATCATCTATTCACCTCTGTCTAACTAGTATATCATCATCTACTAAGTGACATTGTACACTGTGTATGTTGTATATCATCATTTACTCAGTGACATTGTACACGGCGTAAGTAGTATATCACCTACACAGTGGCATTGCACAGCGTGCAAGTAGTATATCATCTCTTCAGTGACATTGTACGCTGTGTAAGTAGTATATCATCATCTACTCACTGACATTATGCACTGTGTAAGTAGAATATCATCTACATTGTACACTGTGTAAGTAGTATATCATCTTCTACTCAGTGACATTGTACACTGTGTAAGTAGTATATCATCTACTCAGTGACATTGTACACTGTGTAAGTAGTATATCATCTACTCAGTGACATTGTACACTGTGTAAGTAGTATATCATCATCTCTCTGACATTGTACACATTGTACACTGTGTAAGTAGTATATCATCATCTACTCAGTGACATTGTACACTGTGTAAGTAGTATATCATCATCTACTCAGTGACATTGTACACTGTGTAAGTAGTATATATATCATCTCCTCAGTGACATTGTACACTGTGTGACATTGTAAGTAGTATATCATCATCTACTCAGTGACATTGTACACTGTGTAAGTAGCATATCATCATCTACTCAGTGACATTGTACACTGTGTAAGTAGTATATCATCATCTCCTCAGTGACATTGTACACTGTGTAAGTAGTATATCATCATCTACTCAGTGACATTGTACACTGTGTAAGTAGTATATCATCATCTACTCATTGTACACTGTGTAACACTTGTATAAGTAGTATATATCATCATCTCCTCAGTGACATTGAACACTGTGTAAGTGTAGTAGTATATCATCATCTATCCTCAGTGACATTGTACACTGTGTAAGTAGTATATCATCATCTACTCAGTGACATTGTACACTGTGTAAGTAGTATATCATCTCCTCAGTGACATTGTACACTGTGTAAGTAGTATATCATCATCTCCTCAGTGACATTGTACACTGTGTAAGTAGTATATCATCATCTACTCAATGACATTGTACACTGTGTAAGTAGTATATCATCATCTACTCAGTGACATTGTACTCTGTATATATAGTGGTATATCATCATCTCAGTGACATTGTACTGTGTAAGTAGTATATCATCATCTCCTCAGTGACATTGTACACTGTGTAAGTAGTATATCATCATCTACTCAGTGACATTGTACACTGTGTAAGTAGTATATCATCATCTACTCAGTGACATTGTACACTGTGTAAGTAGTATATCATCATCTACCTCAGTGACATTGTACACTGTGTAAGTAGTATATCATCATCTACTCAGTGACATTGTACACTGTGTAAGTAGTATATCATCATCTACTCAGTGACATTGTACACTGTGTAAGTAGTATATCATCATCTACTCAGTGACATTGTACACTGTGTAAGTAGTATATCATCATCTACTCAGTGACATTGTACACTGTGTAAGTAGTATATCATCATCTACTCAGTGACATTGTACACTGTGTAAGTAGTATATCATCTCCTCAGTGACATTGTACACTGTGTAAGTAGTATATCATCATCTACTCAGTGACATTGTACACTGTGTAAGTAGTATATCATCATCTACTCAGTGACATTGTACACTGTGTAAGTAGTATATCATCATCTACTCAGTGACATTGTACACTGTGTAAGTAGTATATCATCATCTCCTCAGTGACATTGTACACTCAGTGTACACTGTGTAAGTAGTATATCATCTTACTCAGTGACATTGTACACTGTGTAAGTAGTATATCATCATCTACTCAGTGACATTGTACACTGTGTAAGTAGTATATCATCATCTCCTCAGTGACATTGTACACTGTGTAAGTAGTATATCATCATCTACTCAGTGACATTGTACACTGTGTAAGTAGTATCTCATCTCCTCAGTGACATTCCACACTGTGTATCTTGTATATCATCTCTGTGTAAGTAGTATATCATGATCTACTCAGTGACATTGTACACTGTGTAAGTACTATATCCTCATCTCCTCAGTGACATTCCACACTGTGTAGTATATATCATCTACTCAGTGACATTGTACACTGTGTAAGTAGTATATCATCATCTCCTCAGTGACATTGTACACTGTGTAAGTTGTATATCATCTCCTCAGTGACATTGTACACTGTGTAAGTTGTATATCATCTCCTCAGTGACATTGTACACTGTGTAAGTAGTATATATCATCTACTCAGTGACATTGTACACTGTGTAAGTTGTATATATCATCTCCTCAGTGACATTGTACACTGTGTAAGTTGTATATCATCTCCTCAGTGACATTGTAGACTGTGTAAGTTATATATCATCTCCTCAGTGACATTGAACACTGTGTATTTTGTATATCATCTCCTCGGTGACACTGGTACCTGTGTAAGTAGTATATCATCATCTACCCAGTGACATTGTACACTATGTAAGTTGTATATCATCTACTCAGTGACATTTTACACTATGCAAGTAGTATATCAGCTACTCAGTAACACTTTGCCCTGAATAATTTGTATATCATCTCGTCATTGACATTGTACACCGTGTAAGTTGTGTGTCAACTCCTAAGTGACATTGTACACTGTGTATTGTGTATATCATGTACTCAGTGACATTGAACACTGTGTATGTTGTATATCATCTCTTGAGTGACATTAAACACTGTGTAAGTGGTATATCATCTCGTCAGTGACATTGTACACTGTTTATTTTGCATATCATCTACTCAGTGACATTGACCACTGTGTATGTTGTATACCATCTAATCAGTGACATTTAACACTGTGTATGCTGTTTATGATCCACTTGGTGACACTGTAACTGTGTGCTGTATAGCCATCTCCTCACTGACATTGTACACTGTGTAGGTTGTATATCATCTCCTCAGTGACATTGTACACGGTGTATGTTGTATGTCATCTCCTAAGTGACATTGTACACTGTGTAAGTTGTATATCATGTACTCAGTGACATTGAACACTGTGTATGTTGTATATCATCTCCTCAGTGACATTGTACACTGTGTAAGTAGTATATCATCATCTACTCAGTGACATTGTACACTGTGTAAGTAGTATATCATCTCTACTCAGTGACATTGTACACTGTGTAAGTTGTATATCATCTACTCAGTGACATTGTACACTGTGTGACATCATCTACTCAGTGACACTGTGTAAGTGGTATATCATCATCTCCTCAGTGACATTGTACACTGTGTAAGTAGTATATCATCATCTACTCAGTGACATTGTACACTGTGTAAGTTGTATATCATCTACTCAGTGACATTGAACACTGTGTATGTTGTATATCATCCACTCAGTGACATTGTACACTGTGTAAGTAGTATATCATCTCTATTCAGTGACATTGTACACTGTGTAAGTTGTATATCATCTCTTGAGTGACATTAAACACTGTGTAAGTGGTATATCATCTCGTCAGTGACATTGTACACTGTTTAAGTTGTATATCATCTACTCAGTGCCATTGAACACTCTGTATGTTGTATAGCATCCACTCAGTGACATTGTACACTGTGTAAGTAATATATCATCTATTCAGTGACATTGTACACTGTGTGAGTTGTATATCATCTCTTCAGTGACATTGAACACTGTGTATGTTGAATATCGTCTACCCAGTGGCACTGTAACTGTGTGTTGCATATCGTCTCCTCAGTGACATTGAACACTGTGTATATTTGATATCATCTACCCAGTGACACTGTAACTGTGTGTTGTATATCATCCACTCAGTGACACTGTACACTTTGTAAGTTGTATATCATCTACTCATTGTTATTTAACACTGTGTATGCGTTTATGATCTACTTAGTCACACTGTAACTGTGTGTTGTATATCATCTACTCAGTGTTATTTAACACTGTGTATGCTGTTTATGATCTACTTAGTGACACTGACCACTGTATATGTTGTATTATTCACTGAGTGATATTGGACACGGCAGTCTCTCAAGTTATTTATTATCAGGACATTTATACAGTCTGGGGTTTTGGGGGGGTATTTTTTGTCACGTTTTGGAAAAATCTCCCTACAAGCAATGAGTGTAGGCTCGACAGTGAAACTAATTTATCATCAAGCCAGCTAGTTTAGGTCTGCATCATTCTACAGCGATCCCATGTGTCAAGGGGTAGATAAGGCTGTAGCAGACTGCCAGCTGATTAGGAGTGCCGTCATGGTGCAGCTAGTTTACACGGGATCTTTGATCATCTCCATCTGAAGGCTTCCCCAAACACACGCTTCAACTCCGGAATATATGAAAACAAAGTTTCCCAGATTTACATCTGTGGCGGAGTTATAAGGTATAGACATGCGAGATATGATCGAGAAATTGTGATGAATAACAATAGTACGTGCATCCGTACAATGACGAACTGTTAAGGATCGAATCCGGATCAGAGAAACCATGAAGAACAGATGTCAACGTTTACATTCCGATATCAAAACTACCACAGCAGGTAGTCTTGGTATTAGACCTGAAACACAAATCTCCAAATCAGCATATATATGTTGTGGTTATTTCCTTAGTTGACATTTGAATTAGTTGTGTTTTGACCCAGGTGAGGTTTAGTTTGTTGTAAGCCAAGGCACATACCGACATAGTTCCAATCAGTAATGTTGAATACCTTTTATTGGACCTGTGTAACGACTGTGGAATTTTTTATGTTAATAACAAGAGCCGAGGCAAGTCCAGATCAGTCATTACATCTACGTTTCTTGGCCACACGCGAAGACAAGATAGGAAGCCATTTTGTTGTTTTTAAAATTATGCAAAAACCTATTTTCATAGTTTAAGTGTAAGTCTTATCGTTTATCTGTTTCTCCTCTAGAAATGTGTCTGAGAACAGACCCTAAAGAATAACTGCAGTGGTGGGCACACCTTAACAGTTGCTCGAGCTGTGTTCACCTAAAATTTTCCATCAGAAAAGCGAATTGAAGCTTAAAGCTGTTACTCGGTGTGTCTGAAGCCTTCAATAACCTGAAGGCGAGACTATGAAACAATTGTCAAAGGTTAGAAATGGTTGCTTGAGTGGGACTGGAAACTTGTGACGTGCGTCAGTCATATGTCACAGGATCTGTTGTTGTTACAATCAGGGTCAAGGTTTGCCCCAGTGTGTGTGTGCGTGCGCGTGTGAATTTAGTCTTAGGCCGCACTCAGCAATATTCCAGTTATATGGCGGCGGTCCATAAATAATCGTGTCTGAACCAGACAATCCAGTGATCAACAGTATGAACATCGATCTACGCAATTGGGATACGATGACATGTGTCCAACATATCAGCGAGCCTGACCACCCGACCCCATTGTTCGCCTTTTACGACAAGCATGGATTACTGTAGATAAGTTCTAGCCCGGGTCTCCAAGGGTCGCCTCAGTCTGTGAAGCTGATATCAGTTACTCGGCCGAGGGTTTTAAGTCTCATTAAAATTTGCTGTTAGCGAAGGAATTTTGTCATTTAAAGAAGTGATGTAAATTTGAATACAGGTAACCAAGGGAACGCTTGTAAACTTACCCAAATGTCAACATGAACGCGCTGGTGGTATTTTGTTGACACAGTCATCAGGCCATGTTCTCTTCTCCGGTATAGAGCAGAAATACTTCATTGATGTACTGTAATTTGATCAGTTTCTTGTGAGTTTGTTGGAACAAACTTTTTCAAAGACGCTGAAAGGGATATTCTTATATGAATATTTGAGTTTTCAAAGTAATATTTGGCTTCATGTTCAGAAATTATTTGACAATGAACTCTGTTTCATGATGGATAAGGATAGGGACAAGGATTAGGATAATATCTGCCATCCTAAGACAATGCATCAAGTTGGTTCCGTATATAAAGTGCTTAATTATCCCTTTTAAACTAGGGGCAGTGGGTGGTGGTTAAAGCGTTCGCTGGTTCGATTCCCCACATGGGTACAATGCGTGAAGCCCATTTCTGATGTTCCGTGATATTGCTGGAAGATTGCTAAAAGCGACGTAAAGCTAAATTCAGTCACTCTCTCACTCTCACTCTTTTGAACTACTTGGCATGTCATTTATACAAGCTACACATGTCTTTCCGTTGCATGTATTTGTGACTGCTACATTCAGGATTGCGTGAACACCTGCTACCTCACTGGGATTGTGTTGGGATTGATAAACACTTGCTCATGATAAGGACTCAGCTTTCAGCAGAGGATTTATCATCATTATGGAAATGACTTTTGACACATTTTTCCAAGTTAATTCAAAATTGCACGTGGAAGGCGTTCGGTGTCTCCTATAAGGTTTAACTCGATTGTACAGGTATTTCGGGAATGATTATGGGCGATCAACTTCTTTATATTACAATAGCAATGTTTCGGTATAGATGCTTATACTGTATTCAAGCATGAGGTGGTGACTGGATACAGCAGCATATATATAGGGTACATGAGAACTAACAGTGGCAGTGGATGATAAACAAGAAGATTAACAATGAAAACAAGCATAATTATACATGAGGCAAGCCGATGCAAGACAAAAACATGATGACTGGGACTAGCAGTGAGGGTGGGGATAGGTAATTAGGGCAGGGGGTGAGAAGCCAGAGAAAGGAGATTGGATTGGTGGTAAGCTGATTGGATGAAACAGCCCTGGTCCCTATTCAGTTTTGAGCTGTGTCCTTTTTATCTGTAGTGCTTATGTCAATTATCTTGTAGTGTAAGCATGTTGATTGTTAGGTAGTGTTTTCACAGTGTCCCAATGGATGTTGTGCTGAGGAAATTTGATGATGTGTCCCGAAATGTCTGATTTGGTGTTCTTGAAGGCGTATGTTGAGTGGTCTTGATGTTTCCACGATGTAGTTGCTGTCGCAGCTGATGTTATAGACCACACCTTTGGGCTGCTATTGTCGTTCTTGTGTAGCGGATTTCCTACCGTTATCCCTAACACTACAAGAAAAGTGGCAGAAGCACTACAGATACAAAGAATTGAAAATTTGAATTCGATAAAAATGTACTCAGTATTGTATATTTTGTATTTTCTTCAGAACAGGAATGTGGTCAGTGACAAGTGCCAGTGGCTGAATGGTGACTCAAAGGGCAATATGGATCCTAACGTCACCTTCAAGAGGACAGGAATACATGTATTTGCGACTTTGCTGACAGTATTCCTAGCTGTAGTGGCGGACACCACAAACTTCACATGTCCCACAAAAGACTTTACACACATGACGCTTCATAATGACACTGTGTACATAGCCGGGGCAAAATGTGTCTGTCGTGAAAATCTGCGGGAGCAGATAAAAAATTGTGCAGAAATCCCTTCCGAATTCACTGGCTTAGTGGTGTTAGAAGTAGCAACAGTGACACATCTGCTGATGTGTTACACATCGGGTGGTTGTGAAACACGTCTTCTGAATGGAAATGACCTTTACTCAAGAAAAAATTTACAATTTGACCCACCAATAGTTGGGGCTACAAATACCATCGTGGTTCCGTCTTCCTTCTCAGAGAGCACTACGGATACAGTTTTGTACACAACCACGAAAGTGGCTCCTGGGAACAACAGTACTTCAACCCTGAGTGCTTGGAATGTGACGTTTCAGACAAATCAATCAAAATCACAAAGGACATATACTATTGATCTTGTTGAAAACGTTAAACAGAAGTACCGAGAAAACTATAACCCTGTTGGAGGTTTCAGTGTAAATGGGGCTGCATACTTCTTTGCAAACCAGATTCAGAATTCAAGCAGTAACTCGACTGTTTCCAAACTTATATTTGTCTGTCGCAATGGAACGTATCGGGATATAGTGGTGGGGTATAATAACACCTATGATCAGGTATCTGATGTGGTTTTACTGTCTGAAAGTCGGAACCAGCAAATATTCAATTCTGCTTATAAAACAAAGGACGGTTCTCTTATCCTTGCAGTCTTTGAGGACAGAACGAAAAACAGATTGGTGTTAACCTATTTCTCTCTTGTAGACATTCAGAATCTGTTATCATCTGCACCAATCATGGACGGCGATAACTATCTGATAAATGATACATCTTCATGCGAGGTATGTTTGTAGCGTATTGAAGACCGAAATTCAACGGAAAGTAGGAGTGCACCTTTGTGAGTGTTTTTGTGTAGACACGTGTGGACGGGTACACATGTGTGAGAGTCAATGTGTAGACACATGTGGATGGTCGCCCCTGTGTTAGTACCTGTGTGGAGACACATGTAGATGGTCACACCTGACTGAGTGTGTGTGAACCTGGATGGGTACACCTGTGTGAGTGTCTGTAGCTACATGTGGATGGTCACACCTGTTTGAGTGTCTGCATGTAGGCACATGTGGATGGCTAAACCTGTGTGAGTTTCGGCATGTAGGCACCTGTGGATGGGTAAACCTGTGTGAGTTCTGTATGTAGGCACATGTGGATGGGTAAACCTGTGTGAGTTTCTGTATGTAGACACATGTGGATGGGTAAACCTATGTGAGTTTCTTCATGTAGGCACATGTGGATGGGTAAACCTATGTGAGTTTCTGCATGTAGGCACATGTGGATGGGTACATTGAGTGATTGTCTGCATGTAGGCACATGTGGATGGGTAAACCTGTGTGAGTTTCTGCATGTAGGCGCATGTGGATGGGTACATCGGAGTGATTGACTGCATGTAGGCACATGTGGATGGGTACATCTGAGTGAGTTTCTGCATGTAGGCACATGTGGATGGGTACTTCTGAGTGATTGTCGTTGTGTAGGTGAATTCGAATGGTCCAAGTGCATGTGTCTCCAGGATTTGTATGCATGTTGATTAGTATGTTTGGGAAAGTGTTGTATGATGCGCGTGTCGTCATAGGGCCTAGGGACGTTCAATGACCATGATGTTTTGTATGTTTCCTATCTCCAACGTTAACCACCACGAGAGCTGACGGGCAAACAATTATGAAACTGTTTTTTCATAAATTGTGTATAATATTTTATGCTGCTTTTGATATAGGTCTGTAAATTCATCTATGATGTCGACTGAATCGCTTTTTAATGGATCTAGGTGAATAAAACCGGCCTGTGCCAAGGATGTCCTTACTTCATTGGAAAGTCGTCCTTCATACTTAATTCTCTCACCAATCTGCTTGACGGACTTCCCAACCCGATCTACAAGATTCACAAGATTACAGGAGCTCCAATTAACGGCGGTCATCACAGTTTGATATTAGTTGCCCCGACAAATGGGCCAGTTCAAATGGTGAGCTCATGTCATGTTAAACCACTTCAAACGAATTCTTTTAGAATATGGAACAAGTTTTTATGGATAACAACTTCTTTATTTGGATGTTATCCATAAAAACTTGTTCCATATTGTACGTCTCAACTATTAAAATGCCACTCAATCAAGAATTCTTTAGGTCGTCTTTTTTCATAAAATCGTTGTAAAGTCAATTCTTTATTTTTTACATATTATTTCGACATTCCAAAGAGTCAAACGTAAATTCACAATTTACATAAGGATTCTAATAAGGTTCACAATTTGTTCACAATTATTCTTTTTGAAAAGTTTAAACTTGAGGCAACCCTACTTCACACATACTAAGCACAATTAATAGCACCAGTGCTCCACAATCACAGAGTTGACATATTACTACAATAGAAATCCCTTGAATTTCATGTCACACTTTTCATCACAATGCTGAAATTGACATGACAGTTTGTAAGTTACCCGTTTAAGGAGTATTTGTAGTATTTGTGGTATAAGGGTTAGCAGTAGCAGTAGTAGTTTTCGTAGTAGCGGCAGCAGTAGTTGCAGTAGCAGTAGCAACAGCAGCGGTATTAGCAACAGTAGTAGTTTCAGTAGCAGCAGCAATAGTAGTAGTAGTAGTGGTAGTAGTAGTAGTAGTAGTAGTGGTAGTAGTAGTAGTGGTAGTACTAGTGGTAGTAGTAGTAGTAGTGGTAATAGTGGTAGTAGTAGTAGTAGTGGTAGTAGTAGTAGTGGTGGTGGTAGTAGTAGTAGTGGTAGTAGTAGTGGTAGTAGCAGTAGTAGAAATAACAGCAGCAGTAGTTGCAGTAGCATCAGCAGCAGTAGTAGCAACAGTAGTAGTTTCAGTAGCAGCAGCAGTAGTAGTAGTAGTATTGGTAGTAGTAGTGGTAGTAGTAGTAGTGGTAGTAGTAGTAGTAGTGGTAGTAGTATTGGTAGTAGGAGTGGTAGTAGTGGTAGTAGTAGTAGTAGTAGTAGTTGTGGTAGTAGTAGTGGTAGTAGTAGTAGTAGTGGTGTGGTAGTAGCAGTAGTGGTAGCAGCAGCAGTAGTAGTAATAGTAGTAGTAGCAGCAGCAGTAGTAGTAATAGTAGTAGTAGCAGCAGCAGTAGTAGTAATAGTAGTAGTAGCGGCAGCAGTAGTTGCAGTAGCGGTAGCAACAGCAGCAGTAGTAGCAACAGTAGTTTCAGTAGCAGCCGCAGCAGCAGTAGTAGTAGTAGTGGTAATAGTAGTGGTAGTAGTAGTAGTAGAGGTAGTAGTGGTAGTGGTAGTAGTAGTGGTAGTAGTAGTAGTAGTAGTAGAAATAACAGCAGCAGTAGTTGCAGTAGCATCAGCAGCAGTAGTAGCAACAGTAGTAGTTTCAGTAGCAGCAGTAGTAGTAGTAGTAGTAGTAGCAGCAGCAGTAGTAGTAATAGTAGTAGTAGCGGCAGCAGTAGTTGCAGTAGCGGTAGCAACAGCAGCAGTAGTAGCAACAGTAGTTTCAGTAGCAGCAGCAGCAGCAGTAGTAGTAGTAGTGGTAATAGTAGTGGTAGTAGTAGTAGTAGTGGTAGTAGTAGTGGTAGCAGTGGTAGTGGCAGTAGCAGCAGCAGTAGCAGTAGTAGTAGTGGTAGCAGTAGTGGTAGCAGTATGAGTAGTAGTAGTAGTGAGTAGTGGTAGTAGTGGTAGTAGTAGTAGTAGTAGGCAGCAGCAGTAGTTGCAGTAGCATCAGCAGCAGTAGTAGTAATAGTAGTGGCAGCAGCAGCAGTAGTAGTAGTAGTAGTAGCGGCAGCAGTGGTAGCAGTAGCAGCAGTAGTAGCAAGCAGCAGTAGCAGCAACGGCAGTAGTAGTAGCAGCAGCAGCATAGTAGCAGCAGTAGCAGTAGTAGCAGTAGCAGTAGCAGTGAAAGTAGTAGCAGCAGCAGTAGTAGTGGTGGTAGTGGCAGTAGTAGAAGCAGCAGTGGTAGCAGCATGGTAGGCAGTAGCAGTAGCAGCAGCAAGCAGTAGTAGCAGTAGTAGTAGTAGCAGCAGTGGCAGTAGCAGTAGTAGCAGTAGCAGTAGCAGCAGCAGCAGTAGCAGTGTTAAGTAGTAGCAGTAGTGCAGTAGTAGCAGCAGCAGCAGTAGCAGTAGTAGTAAAGTAGCAGCAGTAGTGGTAGTAGCAGTAGCAGTAGCAGCAGCAGTGGTAGTAGTAGCAGCAGTAGTAGCGGTAGTAGTAGTAGCAGTAGCAGCAGCAGCAGTAGTTAAGCAGTAGTAGTAGCAGCAGCAGTAGTAGTAGCAGCAGCAGCAGCAGCAGTAGCAGTAGTAGTAGTAGCAGCAGTAGTAGCAGTATCAGCAGCAGCAGTAGTAGCAGCAGTAGTAGTAGCAGCAGCAGCAGTAGTAGTAGTAGTAGCAGTAGCAGTAGCAGCAGCAGCAGTAGTAGCAGCAGCAGCAGTAGTAGTAGTAGCAGTAGTAGTAGTAGTACTAGTAGTAGTTATTCTTTACTTTTGTATCGACCTGCAGCAATATATTTGTCTTCTTTTATGTTATATTGAGTTTGCGATTCATTCTTGGTTTTAAGAGCAAATGTGCCATGGTTGATCGTCCCCGCACCCTTGCTCCCGCCCGCCTAATTAACTCATTAATACTTTAAACCAGTATATTGTTTTCAGCTCTACATTGACACTTCTAAAAAGAAAGGGCGATTCCTAGGCGGTACTTACATCAGAACTCTGTCCATCGATGGATCAACAGTCAGACAGATGAAGATCCACGACGATAATGTTATCATTCTCTACAAAACCTACGTAAGACGTTCGGCAACAATTCCTTGTAACATTTGCAGAAATGTGTGTTTGGACATGACTTAGTTGGAATGATATAGTCTGGTCATTCCCTACATGGGTACAATGTGTGAAGCCCATTTCTGGTGTACCTCGATGTGATATTGTTGTAAAACTCACTCAGTGACAGTCTAGTCATATACAATACAATTTCATGTTTCTTCCATAAGGATGACATGAAAGGTTTAAATGGTTTGATGTGTAAATAAGCTGTTAAACTGACACAACATTCGCTATTTACACCATCTAAATCTATCCTGAAATCGTTGTTGATATGCAACCTTTCAAGAGAAAGTAGCTTCCTACTTGCCTTATGGGGAATGCTTTGGTAATTGTTGTCTCGTTGGTTGCAATAACTGTGCACTATCGTCGTGGCCTTCTCGCAGTAGCAAGCGTGTGAGACCTATATATCTTTCTTCCCATGTTACGCCATCATATAGCTGGAACATTGTTACCAGCGGGCTCAAACCAAACTCACTCACAAATGACCCTTTTGCAGTCATGATAGATGGATGTGCATTAGTAGAAGCCCAGATACACTGAGAGTTAAGACATAAGTATAAACATTATAAAGTCTGAGCATCCTCGCCCATACTTCATGTTACAGGAAAGAAATAATTAAGCACCCCCTGTATTTTTGCAATAATAAGTTATCAACACGTACATAAAACTCCTCGTGGTGACAACGATGGAAAGGCATGAGTTTTTCTGACGCGTAGGATCCCTGACTAAGAATGATTGGAATCCATGTTGATATTATGATGAAAATTGCTCATTTAAAAAACAACAACACTGATTTTCATACAAAACAATATCTGTACAAGCACGGCCCTGGAATGTTTAATAACCTCCATGTGACTGTATGACAGCCAGGACTCTCCTCCTCATAACCCCTGTCAGTCTCCTGATCCTCTGAAGGGGCAGTCAACGCCATTCCTCATGTAAAGCATCTTCCAATTGGTCTAGGTTCTGTACAATAGTACCTTTTTTGCACAAGGCGACCAATCAAGTCCCAGATATGCTCAAAAGGGTTAAGATCTGGGCTCATTCAATCGTGAGATATGTCAGGGTGTGCTTAACTAAGATTTTTGTGTATATAACTAAAAGTAGGTGAGTGCCATTAAAATCGCTTTCATTATTTGCATATTCATGCTTCACATAAATTCAGCCTCTTAGTTAGGAAACCATTCTGTGGTAGGATGAGCATGAACATTATATGTCCTGCCCGTCTTACAAGTCTTGCCTGACTTCCCTTGCCATGTGAAATGGTGCACGTGCACTGATTCAGATTGAGCTACACAGTAAATGTTACACCGCAAGTCAGAGTCAATGTAAAATGTGGAAAAATTCTTACCCTGATCATATTTTCCATACTTGCCCCTCAAATCCACGCAACATAACACGGGAAGGAACAATGGATTTTTTATTTAAAAAACTATTTGGAATATGTTTAAATGGCACTATCAACCACAGAACATGCTGCAATACAATTTTAAATTTAATTTTTGACTTTCATTGCAGACTGAGAAAGTGCCTCTATACTCAGGACAGTGCAGTGTGAATGGTGTCATTTCGCTTTGTTTCAATGGGACCAACCCGTTCTGCGGATGGTGCAGGAAGACAAGAAGGTATGTTGCTTTCATCTTTCTGTAAGCAGTTGTAGGAATCAAATTCAGTTTCATTTAACTCTGTGATTTACTTGAAACATGAAAAGCGAGACTCCGAAGTTGATACAAGATTTACACAAACAATTGGCTTCTGTGATTGGTTTTGTACTCAATACCGAATATTCTATTTCCGACTAGGATACCGCATTGCACAAAACCAGCTTGTACGTTGTCAAATAACATATTTGTTGCACTGAATGTGTTTTCATTTTACAGGGTAGAATAGTCTATTTCCCATACTGAGTCGAGTAGCATACTGCATTGAATGGCTGTGAACAGTTTAACATATATAGCAGTGTGCTTGATGAAATGATGCTGTCCATTTCTAAAAGGCTTTTGTATGTTTCAGCTGTACAACATTCAGGAACTGTAGTGACTTAGATTGGATTCCAGTTGGTGGAAGCTATGTACGTATGACGTTAATCATTTTACTGTTAAGGCTTCACGGATCGTTCGCTCTACTTTAAAGTGACTTTCCATCCTGTATAAACTCAGTTGTAATATAACTGAAAGAGTAATACATTTCATATTTCCACTTGATATGTGTTTTTAACACTTATTATAATAGAATGAAAACTGTTCCAGTTATTCAGTTGTTGAGTGACTAATGTTCATCATCAACCGAATGGACCGAATTAAATATGCGATTCTATTTGTTGCTTCTATAGTATCACCAGAAATTATTAAGAATTTTAAATTTAACGTGTGGGGTGGCATATCTGTGTTAGGGGCAACGCCCCTCTGTGAATTTGAAAGGAATATGAACAGTGAGCGGTACACAGATATTCTCAAGGGACATTTACTTCCATCTGCTCACGTGTTCTATGGAATTTTTTAGATTTTCCAGCAGGACAACGACCCAAAACATCGTTCAAAGCATTCACAGGCCTGGTTTCGGACCCAAAATATGACATGATTAGATTGGCCGAGCTATAGCCCTGACCTAAATCCAATAGAAAATGTTTGGGGACTTATGAAGGAAAGTGTCAATAAGAAAAATCTGACAAATATTGCTGAAATGAAAGAAGAGGTGGTCCGATATTGGGTCACCATGGACCACGACTTTCTAACTTCTTTGATCAGTAGTATGCCCCGCCGCATTGAAGCCTGCATTGCTGCCCATGGTGACTTAACAAAATACTTACTGTTCACCTGTCTTTGAATCTGGAGTTATGTTCTGCTAATTTTCACATTTAATACGTGAGTAATGAGTGAAAATTTTGAAAAAAATACATTCTTTAAATTCTCAATAATTTCTGGTTGTACTGTATTTCACTTTCTTGTTAATACCTAAACAATATATTTATTTATCGGTTTGTTTGTTTGTTTATTTACATGAGTACCGTGTTGCAATTCCAGGGAAATATTTCGGTTGAGAACTTGAGTCCAGAAAAGGGCCCAATGTCAGGGGGAACTCTCCTCTCCCTGAATGGGAGTAACCACGACCTACTCATCAACAGGTCCTTCAGCATCTCCATTGGCAAGAAGCACTGCACAAACGTTACTATAACGTACGGGTATTAACACGATCTTTTCCATTTGTATTGTGGTATCCCTATCCCGGGCTCCATCAACAGAACTGAATTTTTGGTGTGTGTGTGCGCCTGCGTGCGTGCGTGCGTTCGTTCGTTCGACCACGCGGTCTATTTAGTCGCCTGTCACAAGCATAGGTGTTGGGGACCTATTCTGCTTTTTGTTTGTATAACGCTGCAATCAGCAATATCCCAGACGGTGATATGTTCATGAAGAAAGCCAGTCATTGATATTACGTACAACGACCCATGGTCGGTGTATGTTGACAAGCAATCAACCAATTCAACATGATTCTTTGACCCCATCTATGACGAGCATCGGATGCTGGGGTCATTTAAGGCCCTGCACATGTTTGTGAAGAGTTATGTCCCTTGTCAGAAAGCAATCATTGTGGGTTTGAATCCCGATTCGGCAAGATTATGCTTTTGGATCGTGAGGATCATACACGTCCACTTCAGAATCTGTTACTTGGTAAGCGTTCGAGACCTGCATAACTTTGGGCTTTCCAAAACATCGTGATGGAACTGGAATACTGTTAAATATTGAACCCAGCTCACTCTAGCCATAAATCACCACATAATAGTAATTATGGCTATCCAACCTACGTAACACTGTGTCAGAAGAATGAGTGGTTTCGAATTACCCTCCTGAAAGACGGTCGAATGTACATATCGAATGTTTCTACCTTCAGAAGCCATGACGTCATGACGTGTATCACTCCCCGAAGTCACGTGCCGGGATTACAGAACGTCACGTGGACGAGCGGTGACGGTACCATTACATCAATCGGCACATTCCTTTACGTAGAAGATCCCACTGTAGGTGGTATCTTCCCAAATAGATCCTTTGACAGGTATTGGTGTATTTTATATATACAATGGTTTAATGGCTGTGATCATATTCCTGTTTGTCATATTACGATAGTTTGGGTAAACAAATCCTCTTCTATTAAAAAATAACGTGTTTTGGTGTTCAGTTGAGTTTGGGCATTTCTAAATTGTATTTAAACTATTCGGAAAGTATTTGAATGCATATATAGTCCATATCACTGTATACGATCACACAGAATTTCGCAAATGAATACCGAATTACTGGTGTGGACATTGCTGGAGATCTAAATGGATAAGATTGGTTGAGGAATTAGAGTGGCTTTCAACAATAAAGTAGTGGACGTTTATCACCTTCGTGAAATTCCGCCAGCCCATGTTTCCGGAGCCAACAAACAAAGATCTATAAGCAGGACGGATTCGAAATCGACACCAGCGGATCCTGGTGTAACAAATGATCCACGTGTGCCTTTCGTTTTCGAGTAAGCCTGTGATACTGATGTCTGTAAAGTAAACATTAATTCACCCGAAGCGCAGAATGTGTTTGATACTCATGAACACGGTACAGATTTCTAAAAGCTTGCCAATTGTGTTGAAGTGGAGGGAGAGACTTGGAAGTATCAGGGACCAACTTAGACGCCATCCAGGAGCCCCGGATGCTGATCGTGGGAGAGAGCGTGTCAGAGGTAGATATTTCCATTTGTCTGCATCAGTATGTTTGCTGTTTAAGCCGCGGTCTGTAACTAATAGCGCCTGGACCAGACAATCCAGTGACTGACATTATAGGTATTGATCCACGCAGTTGATACGATGACATGTCTGTTCGAGTCAACCGTTCGCGCGTCATGCCACATGGGAACAATGTGTGAAGCCCATTTTTGGTGTCCCTCGCCGTGATATTGCTGGAATATTGCTGGAATATTGCTACAAGCGGCGTAAAACCATAATAACTGAACACTCCCGAATCCGTTAGTCCCATACTACAAGCAGAGTCGCTGAAGACTAGATCTATCCTGATCGTATCGCGTCCCAGCCATATCTGTACAGACGGTGATTTGAGGAGTATACTCAGAGCTTCAAACCCCAAGAGAGTGAGTGAGCTTGGTTTTACGCCGCTTGTAGCAAAATGTTTAGACGTGCGAACGCCGTAACCACTTAGCAACGCTTTAGATGTCACAGGGCCCGGTCGGGTCCGGGGTGGAACCTGGTGGGTAGTTCAGGGGGCAAATCCCCCTTGAAGCCAACGTATAACTGCAAATTCCTCTTTTAGAAAAGTCACTGAAAACGATGTATTAAGACATATACTTGTGATTTTAAGTGGTCAGCATGATGAACCCAGTTTGGCGTGAGTGACAGCGTGACATTAAGGTTGCAGATGTGTATACTCTGTAGAATCAGAACAGTGTATTCTCTGAAAACCACGAAATATTTACATAGAAATAAGTGTTTTTTCACTGTGCAGGGTTGTCGTCACAAAAACGCCACTTTGATAGTGTGTAGTTCTCCAAAAGTGCCGAAGGAACTCCGTGACAAACTTGAGATGAACAACACCCTGGACGCTCAAGCTGACATGATACAAGTGGATGTGGAATTCATAATGGATGGAGTCGATCCCAGTTTACTTCGCCAGACCCTTGAGGTAGTGAGGGATCCTAAATTCTTTAACTTCTCGGAGGATGGCATGACGAAAGAACTCGTGGAGGGGGAACGCACTGTCATCGTCATTAAGGTAAGGCCACTCACAGATAGTCTTGTTTCGCATGACTTTATGACTGAGAGGGTTTGGAGGTAAGACTTTCTTTGGTCGGTAACAAATCTATTTAAATACAACTGGTTCTGATGTACCATCTCCTTGTCGATCGAAGTGTGATGATCTGATGATCATTGCTAAATTCGTCTGAGGAACTAATAAGCATTTACAAAACATAATAATCCGGTGCAAATACACTGCCTTTGATTAGTCGTTTTTCGGGGTGTGTAAAGCTAATACTGTTTTTTTGCGGGAGAATTTGATTGCCTGGAGGGTCTTTATACACATTGTTACAAGGATGAATAAGTTAATGTTATATTGCTGATATCACCAATATTCAAGCTATAACCAATACATGGAACTGATAGAGTCTTGGCCAAAGAGCAAAGATCTATGATCGCTCGATCCTTGTCACGGTTCCCACATTTTTGTGAAAAAAATCCATGATTTTTCAAGAGAGATATTGCTTTTTCCAGACACAACAGTTTATGTCCTAAACAATATCTTAAATACGGCGTGCCATCTCCCCTTAAAGCTGTCCATTCACATCTCTTTATTTTAAGATGACATAATAATAATTTTCTTTTACTCTTTAACTATCTTTATTGACATATAACCAACGAGGAATACAATACAGTTTTGTTACATAAAAACAACAAGATTATTTCATAATTTGTCCATGATTTCATCCATTTTTGGGAGCGGTGGGGAAGCCTAGTGGTTAAAGCGTTGGGTCGTCACGCCGAAGACCCGTGTTCGAATCCCCACATGGGTACAATGTGTGAAGCCCATTTCTGGTGTCCCCCGCCGTGATGTTGCTGGAATATTGCTAAAAGCGGCGTAAAACCAAACTCAGTCAGTCAGTCATCTATTTTCATAAAATTCCATGATTTTTCCAAGACTGGAAAATGGGGTTTGAAATTTCCAGGTTTTCCAGGTATGTGGGAACCCTGCTTGTAACAGTACGTTGTCACTACATACATAAGATGCTTAATTACTATCGAGAAGGCTTAAAATGCTTAATGTTATTTTAGATTACTAATTACTACATACAGTATGACAGTATACAACCATTGAAATATCGAATAAGAACCGTTTGACCAACGTGGGGGTTGAACTATTTCATGGTGGATATATATTTCATCTGTCATTAAATTTTCATAGAAGAAAAACAGTAATAATATTTTACACTTCACGAAAGTTACATACACAAACCAAGAGAGTGTCATAAATAGTAAGTGTTCGTTATGAAAACGAAGTGATACGTATGTGTTGTGAAAACTGCCACAATGATAATGCATAATTAATACTGTTGTGCAAAACCTGTCATTTACAGAGGTGAAATATTCCACCTCTGTGGAGACAAGGGACGGGTATTAGGTTCCGAAATCACCGTTATCTACAGCCAACATCGCATAGCAGGTCACAAATTCCAAGTTGACAGTGAGTGAGTTTTACGCCGCTTTTAGCAATATTCCAGCAGTATAACGGCGGAGGGACACCAGAAATCGGCATCACTAATTGTACCCATGTAGAGGAATCAAACCCGGGTCTTCCGCGTGACGGGCGAACGCATTAACCACTAGGCTTCCCACAGCCCCAAGTTTATAGCCTTTGTTCTTATAAACACATGATTTGAGAACAATGATAGTTGATACGAAATACTGGAGTATGTAGACTATGCGATATTTTGATGCATTTGTTTTGTTTATCTTTAGGAAGCGTAATTATCAAAGAAAACTGTGAAAACGATATTTTAGCATTTCCGAGAGAACGTAATGACGTACGAAATCGTGCTATAGAATCACTTTCCAAAAGGCGACGTAAATATTTTGGAAAGTGTTTTGAACCCAGTTGCAACATTGTCAGCATCTCACGTTCCTCACCCAACGTGGACGATTCAGACAATTTACGACAGTTGTGTTACGGCTTCTTTGTGAAGGGGGCCCTGCAGCTGGTACCTCAACTATCACACGAAACACTATTCTGAGACACCTTTGAACATCCGGGTTAGAATTGGTTTTCAGCAACCCATGCTTGTCTTAATAGGCGAATAACGGGATCGGGTGGTCAGGTTCGCTGACTTGATTGACACATGTCGTATCCCAATTCCCTGTATCGATGCTCATACTGTTGATCACTGGATTGTGTGGTCCAGACTCGAGTATTTACAGACCTTCGACATATTGCTGGAATGTTGCCGAGTGCGGCGTTAAACAAACAAATACAAAAACACTGAAAAGACAGATAATTCAGGCTAGACCAGTTGTCTATGAACTTTAATGGTCAATGTTATTTTATAGATTTTACCAGCGGTTAAAAATATTGAAATCGAAAATTCGGATAAGTAAAGAATATATTCCAGGTGGCATCTTTTAAGATATGAAACAGAGAGTATGCTTGAAACTGGTATATTCACATATGACATAAAATCCGTTAAGTATTCTGAAACAAGCATTAGTTACAGATATTGACAACGGAAATTGATAATCCAACTGCTAAACATGAGTCTCCCTCGAAAACCGTGTGTGGGGGTGGTGGGGTTGGGGATTGAACATCCGCTTATGTGCAGATGATACGGGTTGTGTTAGAGCACGTGCACAGGTGTGCAGGAATTAGAACACGTGATCTTAAAATAAAAGAACTCTGGATAGGCGGGCGTAATGTATTTTTAGAAAAATTAATTAACCACAGTCCGTCCATTGTATATTATAGAAACCCCTGAAAACTTTCTAATAAGTTTAACTTACTAATACAGTTATGTCCAATTTAATGCAGAGACTCTTAGGATAAGTCAGTTCTGGTTGGCTTATGACTAGGTACCTACCTACCTACCTAAACTACCCTACCTACCTACCTACCTACCTACCTACCTACCTACCTACCTACCTACCTACCTACCTACCACGATTGGCTATAATTCGTAATTCACATCCTTCCCATACAGGAAGGAATACGACAATCAATGTACCGGTACAGGTTAAAAAGGAAAACCTGATCAAATGCGTATACATTACACCGCTAGATCCGTCTGACCTGCTTGCTTCGTGTTAACACACCCAGGAAAGTCACAATGACCTGGCCACTTCATACACCTGTGCATGTGTTTTGAGTGCGCGGGACATACCATTCTGATAACTAAGGGGTGCCATTATAGGCTAAGCAACTTTCACTTGCAGTGTGCGTATTTCTTACATTCAGACCACATATATGTTGAAGTTCTCCGTGTACATCTTCCCCGATTCGTGATATTTGACTTAGAACTGAATGAAATCGTCAAGTATTGTAAATAAAGAAATTAAACGCATTTGAGATCGGCAACAGTATCAAATATAATAAAAAAGAATGCATTTCTTCTTTCTGTTGCGTGCACTCCAAAACTCCAACCCTGTCAACACTGTTTATCCATACATAACCTTTATCAGCATCGCATGTTTATCTACTTGCAGGGGGAACGAATCAATGTATCTGCAACAGCGACGGACCTCCACGTGACTGTTGGTACAGTTGCATGCGACGTTCTCTCCAAGAAGGTGTACAGAACAGAGTTCCACTTCTTGGCTCCTGTAAACCGCCCTGCCACAATATCTCAAGATTCCGCTGAGCCAGAAGTTCAGGTTTGTGAATTGTGAAAGAAGAGTTGAATTTAACGCCACGTTGAACAATATTTCCTGGTGGAGTAGCCTATTGGTTAAAGCGTTCGCTCGTCACACGAGTTCGATTCCCCACATAGATACAGTGCATGAAGCCCGTTTCTGGTGTCCTCCGCCGTGATATTGCTGCAATATTGCTAAAAGCGGCGTAATATTATATTCACTTACTTGAACAGTATTTCGGTTTTAGTCCGGCTTCTTCACTTAATGCTCGAGACAAGCAGCCACATCTGATTTCTATTCATAAGTAATAAATGGAAAGAAATAGCAAACAAATACTCGAGATGAATCCTCGATATAACACTATCCAGTTAAAATACGATGTTCTGAAAATCACTATCAGATGAAACATGTAGATGAAAAAGTGTATCACTTTGTAAAATGTCTATCTAGTTAAAATATGTTATTAATATAATTCATCTGTGTTAAAATAAAAGCATATTATCATTTTCACCTCGGTTGAAAAAGGTATTATTTGAACTGTATTTTATCAGCAACAAGTAGAGATGGTCCGTACGGATTAGCTCGCATGGTTAAGAACATTATATCACGAGGGAAAATTGTAGAATTATAGCTTTTGATGGCCTGTATATGACATGACAATATTGTTGCCGTGCAGGTTCGCCTGGGTAACATACGGCGTCGGGTCGGCTACCTGCGTTATATCCCACCCTCCAAATTGCACCTGCACTTGTATATAGCCGTCGGCATCCTAGGACTCGTCGTCCTTGGACTCGTCATCCTCGGCGTTCTTCTGCGACGTCGGAGCCGACTGGCGGTAGAGAAATTGCAAGACGACATGGAACAAATGGAGCTCCGGATACAGACCGAATTCCGGCAAGGTGGGACTACCGGCCGTGCTGATTACTATGATGCTGTATTGTCGTAATATGATCCTAGAAATTAAGAGGAGAATTACTTTGAATAGGTTACTGTTATTGTATGTTTGTAATGCAGACAACAGTAACTCAATAATAAACTTTTGCTGCACATAAAAGTCTGCATATTCCGCTGATTGTCTTTGCTCAACACACCGACCGGGATCCAAGTGGTGAGTTTGAAGTGCTGTTAGAGAATAAACAAGCACAACCGAATCATTTAGTAGCATGTTTTCAACAAACATAACATTGAATACTTACTAATATGTAAACAAACCATGTAAAATTTTAACTTTGAGTTTTTGAAAGATGTGTACCCGAAATTGTTTTCTAGACGTTTGTTCACCCAACCTTTTCAAAGGGTTCCGAAAATACAGCATCCGCATTTGCGAGGGTTGATTCAAAGCTAACGTGTGTTTTTTGTTCCATATCAGCCTTCGCTGAGCTCCAGACAGACATGACCGACATTACTGGCGAGCTGGTGGAGACGGGCCTGCCTTACAACAAATTCAATGTCTACGCCTTCCAAATACTCTTCCCAACCGATGACGTCACAGAGATGACATCACATAAACTGGCTGGATATCCTGAAATTGTAAGTAGAAAATAAAGTAAATTTGTGGCTTTTTCATATAGACGTAACACTCTTCGAATTAAAACCGCGATGATCACATCTATACACTCGTTCCTGTTTACGCTTAGAAACAGCGTTAGAAAGACATATATGTATATAGACCCTACCCTAGTACTATATAAAAGGATTCAGCGTTAGAAAGACATATAAGTATATAGACCCTACCCTAGTACTATATAAAAGGATATTCAGCGTTAGAAAGACATATAAGTATATAGACCCTACCCTAGTGCTATATAAAAGGATTCAGCGTTAGAAAGTCATATAGGTATATAGACCCTACCCTAATACTATATAGAAGGATTCAGCGTTAGAAAGTCATATAGGTATATAGACCCTACCCTAGTACTATATAAAAGGATTCAGCGTTAGAAAGTCATATAGATATATAGACCCTACCCTAATACTATATAAAAGGATTCAGCGTTAGAAAGTCATATAGGTATAAAGACCCTACCCTAGTACTATATAAAAGGATTCAGCGTTAGAAAGACATATAGGTATATAGACCCTACCCTAATACTATATAAAAGGATTCAGCGTTAGAAAGACATATAGATATATAGACCCTACCCTAATACTATATAAAAGGATTCAGCGTTAGAACGACATATAGATATATAGACCCTACCCTAATACTATATAAAAGGATTCAGCGTTAGAAAGTCATATAGGTATATAGACCCTACCCTAGTACTATATAAAAGGATTCCTTTATATACCCTAGTTTACTACCTAAATCCGCTCTATTTCTCTGGTATTACTACTATACTCTAAAGGACTGTACTAAATCACTCTATTTCTCTGGTATTCAGGACCGTGTTGACTGTACTAAATCACTCTATTTCTCAGGTTTTCAGGGCCGTGTTGACTGTACTAAATCACTCTATTTCCTTTTTATATACTACTACCGTGTTGGGTATTCAGGGATAGGGTCTATATACTATTACCGTGTTGACTGTACTAAATCACTCCTCTTTCTAACTGCTACTAAATCACTCTATTTTCTAACTGTACTAAATCACTCTATTTCTCGTGACACGCCCTGTGGTACTAAGTTACTACTAATCACTCTATTTCTCTGGTATTCAGGACCGTGTTGACTGTACTAAATCACTCTATTTCTCTGGTATTCAGGACCGTGTTGACTGTACTAAATCACTCTATTTCTCTGGTATTCAGGACCGTGTTGACTGTACTAAATCACTCTATTTCTCTGGTATTCAGGACCGTGTTGACTGTACTAAATCACTCTATTTCTCTGGTATTCAGGACCGTGTTGACTGTACTAAATCACTCTATTTCTCTGGTATTCAGGACCGTGTTGACTGTACTAAATCACTCTATTTCTCTGGTATTCAGGACCGTGTTGACTGTACTAAATCACTCTATTTCTCTGGTATTCAGGACCGTGTTGACTGTACTAAATCACTCTATTTCTTTAGTATTCAGGACCGTGTTGACTGTACTAAATCACTCTATTTCTCTGGTATTCAGGACCGTGTTGACTACTAAATCACTCTATTTCTCTGGTATTCAGGACCGTGTTGACTGTACTAAATCACTCTATTTCTGTGGTATTTAGGACCGTGTTGACTGTACTAAATCACTCTATTTCTCTGGTATTCAGGACTGTGTTGACGTGACAACCCTAGACACTGCCATGCTGGAACTCGAAGGTCTCTTCTTGAACAAGTTCTTCGTCATTACCATCATCAACACGCTGGAGAAGCAGAGGAAGCTGTCACTGTCGGACAAGTAAGCATGTTATACAGAACTGACAACACCAGCATCAGGCTGTGGGGGAGTGTAGTTACGTTCTAGAACTTACAGATCACTTTCAGATCACTATTTCAAAACGTGGATACTTCTTGAAAATTCATGTTCCTGTCCCGATCAGGGTTAGACATGGCCTTGGAACCTATGCTTGTGGTAAGCGGCGACTAACAGGATCGGGTGGTGAGGTTCGCTGACTTGGTTGATGCATGTCATCGGATCCCAATTGCGTAGATTGATGCTCATGCTGTTGGTCACTGGATTGTCTGGTCCAGACTAGAATATTTACAGACCGCCGCCATACAGCTGGAATATTGCTGAGTGCAACAAAATACATGAACAGGTTCTACATTTTACACTTGCAACATAGCTGAAACAGGAAGGACACAGACGTCATACTTTACCTATACTTCTCACCCATAGAATGTTGTGGTATGTGTGTGAGTGACTGACTGATGGTCCCAGGGGCAGGGCTCGTCACGATGATGACCCGGTCACCTGTTACTGTACAATATGAAAGCCATCGCAGTGACAGTGTTTGTTGTTTTGCTAAAATCGGCAAATAATCACATCCCATAATGTCTTTACAATTTTGTCTAGATCAACATTCGCGGGGTGTCTTGCGGCATGTCTTTTACAGAACATGGACTTTTTCTCGCAGTAAGTTTTGTTCATGTTTATTATTATATTTCTATTGGAATGTATAGATTGAAGGATGTGATATTCCAGTTTTATATGTGCAATGTCATAAATTATAATGGCTCACTTGGTCTTTGTTGACTACTGAAACCAGTGTTATTGTTTATTGCTTCAGATGTGAAAGGTTTACATTGTGTTATGTAAAACAATTCCTCTAAAGTTTTATACGGAAGAAACTGATATTTTACACAAGGTGTACCATAATGCTGTCACAGTGTATATTCTATTTAGATATAATTAGATGTTTTCACAAATCAAATGTTAACATCGTTCAGCGTCAACAGTACATTGTTTATTTTTCAGACTAACAAAACTGCTTCTGGAGCAGTACATACCTGATGCTATTGCCAGAAAGAAACATAAAAGTCTTTTCGAAGGTAACGATTAGATAATTTATGCACTGACTACAAACAAACATCATTAAACACTCTTCCAGAACAAACGGTGTTCACTGTGTTTCGTACACGTCGGTCTGATTAAACCTAAGACATTGAAGGATTTATGTATGTATATCTAATTAAAATGTACAGATAATTCATGGTTAGATTTGGACCTCAGGAAACTATGCGTGTCGTCCGAGGAGATTAGGTAGATCTGGTGGTCAGGGTGGTGAGTGATGTTATCGTTCGTTCCTCATTAAATCAACCAGACTGTTTGGGTCAGACTGGATTCTTTGCGGATGGCTGTGGTTTCCCTGAAGTTTGTTTAGTGCAACGTTAAACAACATTCACTCAGGCCATTATCCCATTGCAGGTGCGAGTCCATCACCGAGACCCTGACCTCTTCCTGGCTGGGGATGTGTCTGCATCAGCATCTCTTGAAAGTAAGTCGTCAGTGTAGAACATGAGGACATTGTGTATTTAGGCTGCCCGTGGTATTTGTCAGTGTTGTGTGGTCGAGAAGCAAATGTGAATATACGCATATAAGTTTGGATGAAATGAGTGAGTTTTAGTTTACGCCACTTCTAGCACTATTCCATGACTATGTACCGTATTGGGCTACCCACACAGTCACGTGGGGATGGTGGAACCACCGATTCCAGGGTAGGTGTCAGGACGCCATGTTGATCGTAGTAAGGGTTGGGTTATCTGCAGCGTCGCCTGCGCGCATTTTGTATTCTTGGAAACACAAACTGGCGTGTTAGTATAAGCATTATACACGCTAACATGATAACAAGTTTCTATCAAAATGCGTGACCTGGTGCCGGTGGTGGTGCTGACGGGTGGTGTTCCAAAATGCCATGCTGACCATTAAGCTAGGGCCCATGACACAGAGGTCAACTTCTATCAATCAGCTTCTATCTTCAACATAAAGTACCCTGTGTGTCACCCTTTAACGGTTGTAGTTTATCGCCAGGGCAACTGTGGGCGAGGAACAGAGATAATGTTTCTATTCAAAGAGATACTGTCTCTATTCGAAACTGACATCTGGACATACTGAAGGAGTGTTCTACTTTTGTGGCCGTGTAAACATGTAAACTGACAATACAATTTTACACATGAAGATCCTGGTTAGAATTGGTCTTCAGCAACCCGTGCTTGTCATAAGAGGTGACTAATGGGATCGAATGGTCGACAGGCTTGCAGACTTGGATGACACATGTCATCGTATCCGAATTGAGTAGATAGATGCTTATGCTGTTGATCACTGGGTTGTCTGGTCCAGACTCGATTACTCTTCATTCTGAATTTACCCTCTATATTGAAAGGGCTCAACAAAATCGTGGTAATCTGCATGACACACATTCGAGATAGATGAGCACAATATTAGGCGCATGGGGATGTATAGTGTCCGTTAGTTCTTACACATTAGCTAACAAGTGAGTGAATAAGTCTATTTTCATGCTGCACTGAGCAATATTCCAGCTACATGGAGTAATCGAGACTGGACCAGACAACCCAGTGATCAACGACATGAACATCGATCTACGCAACTTGGATACAATGACATGTGTCATTGGCGGATCCGGGGGTTGGGGTGAGGTGGTGTGCGTTCAGGGGGTTCCTCTCACGACAAGCATGGGTAACTGAAGATCAATTCTAACCCGGATCTTCATGGGTTCATTAGATGACAAGCACACTTGACTGTTCACTGTAATATATATTAATTCTTTGTAATTTTAAGGTCAAGTGCCTCGGGTGTCAAAATATACTGTAAATTCAGAAATTTTAAAAAAATCACATAAACACTCATTTTTAAATAAGAAACAAATTCGTTCTCAGGAACTAGCTGTGGCGACTTTTAAAATGAATTGAATGAATTTTATCATTACCATTTTTTGTGATTAAACGAATTAAGATTCATTCCATATGTAAGTGTAATTCTTTCAAAAGGATCACACGGTATTTCAGTGAAGTCTTTTCACGCTAAAATTTATACAGTCGAGCACCGTTGTGTCGAACTCTCATAACATAGAAACGCCATACCAACTATCTAATTGAAGAACACTTCTGATATGTAGAAAACAAAAGCATTGTTAAACTCAGTGAAATGGCGAGATCACCAGCCGTATGTGTGCAGATGTTGGCCTGTTGGTGCATTACGCAGATATGCATCTAAAGTGCACCTGTAAGATGGAGTATTCTGACATTGTTTCACCAAAACTATATATTCTACTCTTAATGTGCGCACGTGTTATTTGTTTCACGTAATCCGTTCAAATCTGCTGTCTAACAATTCCCAACGGTGATTTGTAGTTAGACAGGTGACGTTGGTGGCGTTTTCTTGACAACTACGTGCCAGGGTGTGGGGAACGTTGTGTCTGTTCTGGTGACAGGTCTGCCGGCAGATCATATGACGTCTGCTGACCGATGTTGACAGAAATAAACTGCCTCTTGTACCATGGGCCAAAGGACGTGCATCATTTTATCCGAAACTATAAATGAATATCATGACATGTCTCTGGTTCTCTGGTAACATTAACGGAATGAAAATAATAGGGACGTGTTTGTTTCAGAGTCGTGGCGGCTCAGCCTTGATCATGTTGGTGAAGGCGATGCAGACGGTGATGGAGAAGGCCCCGATAGACGCCATCACTGGAGCAGCCAGGACCACACTAGCATATGACCAACTACTGCTGGCCAAAACTGACCATGATAAGTCTTTGGTGAGGCCTTATGTTATTACTGACAAGTAGTTCACTCGTTTCTAACATTGATCATAGGATCCAGTGCAATTCATATTTTGTGTTCCGAATATGTATACCGCGTTTTATATAATTTGTTGCAACAAATCTTGAATCAAAATGTTAACAAAATCATTTTTCAAGAATCTGGTTTCGATTTTGCTAACAGACTCTTAGCGTGCAAATCAATGGTGGAGAGTTCGTGACAACCTGTGCCGTTCTGGAGTGTGACACAATATCACAGGTCAAGGCCAAATGTCTCGGGGTCATTTATAAGAAGGATCCGGCTTCTATAAGGCCCCGTTCAGCGGATGTAGATTTGCGTGAGTATATTGCAAACATCTACGTATTAAAACCGTCACCTCCTACAGTCCGTCAAAACAATTTCAGTGAAATGACTGTCGTATGTCTTACATTTTAAGATGAATTTTCTTGTACCAATATAACCATTTGCAATAATTTACCCGTACAATATGAATATAACTTTGGGTTTTTGTGTGAAAGAGGGGCGGTGGGGTAGCCTAATGGTTTAAGCGTTCGCTCGTCACGTCGAATTCCCAGGTTCGATTCCCTACATGGGTACAATGTGTGAAGCCCATTTCTGGTATCCCAGAAGTGATATTGCTAGAATATTGCTAAAGGCGGCGTGAAACCCAACTCACTCACTCACTTCTATGAATGAGTCGGAACTTACGTGCCTTGAATATGCCTCCTCGACAAGTCACCGCGAATTCACACTAATGTATGGACAAACTGTGTTTAATTTGTAACTCTCTCCATTTCTCATTACCAGACAAGAGATATTCATGTCAAGTGGAATATTTAACATTTAACATGGCGGAATAAACTACTTCAGTAAATTGTAGACAGGAATAAACAACCCTGATATCTTGTAATCGTCGTCCCACCCAATCACTCACAACTCCAGTATCCTGTGATGAGAGGAAGCATAATATATATTGTTCGCCAGCGCACAGAATGATGCACAAAATGGCTTTATCTCGCTAGTTGTAACGGAGACCTATAACGCGGAACATCAAAGGAAGATGTTGCATGAAACTCCGTTTGAAGTTCAATATTGTTTGAAAATTGTCAAACCACTGGTATAAACATATTTACCCGGTATATAATTAATCTCCGGGAGTACACGTGTTTGAATGAGTGAGTGAGTTCAGTTTTACACCGCACTCAGCAATATTCCGGGTGTATGGCAGCGGTCTGTAAATAATCAAGTCTGGACCGGGCACTCCAGTGATCAACATTTGAGCATCGATCTACGCAATTGGGATACAATGACTTGTGTCAACCAAGTCAGCGAGCCTGACCACCCGATCCCGTTAGTCGTCTCTTACAACAAGCATGGGTTACTGAAGATCAGTTCTAACGCGGATCTTCACGGGTATGAACGTTCCAATGACCAATGAATGATCATATGTATGTAAATAATCAATGATTTATAAACCAATCTCGAACACTGTAATAACCTATTCCATCATCATTGCCTTCATGTTCTATGGCATACCACTTGGTAAACCATATCTGTCCCCTCATATGTCTACATGTATGGCTGCTCATAACATTAACCACTGGTCTGACAAACCGAATCCAGTCACCGCGCAGACTGCCACGAATACGTAGTAAAACATCATCCTCTTTCTCACTCCAAGTAGGAACTACGGTTTATTTATTGTGTTGTCTGTATCTTCAGTTTTATTGAACTTCATTACAGAGGACAAGTACTGCTTTGGTGACAACTAATCTATAAGTCATCATCCCTCTTGACCAGAAATGGCCTGTATGTGTCCCCACTTAGTATGTTGACATGGCGAGATCGGTGTCAGATTTATCACGAGGAAACCACTCGCTCCTGTATCACATTCACTGCTCCAATTTCCTGATAATGCTTTACAAGTGTCATACAGTAATGTCATATCCTGTTTACGACATATTTCAACAAGGAACATACTGTCAAGATAACTTCAGAACAATTCATTGGTTCGTGACCATGCAGTATACATTAGAACGAGAGATGGGGAAGCTGTCCATACAACAACACTAGACGGGAGTAAATAAACAAAGGTTTGTTAGACACCCACAGAATCATTTAGTCTACTGGAATATTTACGAAACTTTTATTCATAGAATATTACAATCATTCGTAGAAGTGCTTATATACCTGTAAAAGCAATGATATAACATAATTACACAAGTTACATTTTGTGTTTGTTATGTAATCAGCGTAAAACAACAGTTTATTCACGACTGAACATCATATACCTGACACAGTCTAATGTATCATCTCATCAGAAGGTATTGTCAAGGGTAATTAACATATAGGTAAAAGGCAGTAGACTTTGTCCTTTTGAAGGGTAAAGTTCGTTTCCGGAGCAAAATTCTGAAACTAACTGACCCATCTTCACCAAATGTGCTATACTGCCTCTCCATGTCATGTAGATGTGCCTTTTGGGGGTTTGAACTTTTCTTTCAATTATATTTTTTTCTTCTTGATTAGATTCAAGTGAAAAAGTTACATCCATAACTGAATGTGATAAGATTTGATTTTGATTTCAGCATTTGTTGAAATCTTTATTGACTAGAGACAACTGTGTGACTGAAAAACAACAGATTCATTCATGCATTTCGAATAGAATCATTTAAAATTCTGACTGTTTTGGAAAATATAACCGTGGAGTTGTTGATTTGTTGATAATAAATTAAGTTCAATTGAATATAAAAATATTAAATGAAGACTTTACAGACATAATAACATATATGTTATCAATGATATGTATTTTCATACTTAGATACAATGTGTGAAGCCCATTTCTGGTGTCCCCGCCGTGATGTTGCTGGAATATTGCTAAAAGCGGTGTAAAACCAAACTCAATCAGTCAGTCAGTCATACTTAGAGATTTTGAAATGGAAGGAATCAAATGAATTGTTTGAGTTCTCAACGTTGAATTGGGGGAAGGGGAAGACATCTGAGACATCACAAGTAAAACACTTTCTAGTTTGCTAATAAACATTGTTATGGTTAAACACATCCTCGGCTGTGCAGCAATTAAACAGTTCCGGTTTTATACAACGTGAGCCTTATTACTTGTCAAGTAATAAATAATTGTTCTGCAGTCTATGCTCTTGACTAATAATACTCTCGTACATTTCTGCATGGGAAGGAGTATCAAAATGTCGAGTCAAGCATTTTGTGTAAAACTTCACTTTATCCACAAGACAACTTGTTTTACACCGGATGTATTATCTTTGATTTTACTTCATAGATGTCTGGATTTAAATATTCGAACGCATTTCGATAAGAGGTGAAACCGCTTACAAAATCTGGTGCAAAATGTACTTAATATTTGGGGCCTGTTCTGATTGTGTTGACTAGATGTTCATTTGATCTGTTCTGATTGTGTCGACTAGATGTTCATTTAATCTGTTCTGATTGTGTTGACTAAATGTCCATTTGGTCTGTTCTGATTGTGTCGACTAGATGTTCATTTAATCTGTTCTGATTGTGTTGACTAAATGTCCATTTGATCAGTTCTGATTGTGTTGACTAAATGTCCATTTGAGCAGTTCTGATTGTGTTGACTAGAATGGCTGTCTGGCAAGCAAGGGAAATTGATATTGAAAGAGGAAGACACGTGTCCTGCCATCGACGAAGGTCACGTCAAGCTGATGACGTTGTCGGACTATCACGTCACTGACGGTTCGCTCATGGAGCTCCTTAACAAAAACACTACAGATGAGGATGAAGACCGATACGGTACATGGTTATTACTAGGGGTGTCATTATTCACTCTCACTTTGTCGATTCAATTCGTTCGATTCGATTAATTTCGATTCGATTCACCAAAACTGAGGACAAAGTCAAATTTTGTTGTAATATCAGTTTAATTTGGCAAACTTTGGAAAATTGGCACAATGCACAATTAGAACACTGTCAAGACAAGTTGTCAACAAATACTCACTAAATAAGTGATCATGAAATTAAGTTCAGTCATGAACTCTGGTGTCAAGTGTCCATTGTGACTGTAATGTCACTGTAAGTTATTTGGAATGATCATGTTCTGTGCAAGGAATTTTCACTTGAAAGACATGCCCTCTGGGCACTTACAATGTCTCTAGCAGTGGAGAATACCCTCTCACTGGCCACACTTGTAGCAGCGAATTTTCAACATAATTTCTTACGATTTCAGGTGAAATTTACTCTTAGTATTAGAACGTAAGTACTTAATGAATCGAAATGGATACATTTGAAATCGAGATCGAATCGTACATCTATAGATTCGATTTTCGATGAAGCGAACCGAATCGTGACACCCCAAGTTATTACACAACTGTTTACTCTCTATCAATTTAACAACCATGCATGAGAAGCAGTGATAACATCGAAGATAACATTCACATTATTTTGTTTTAGGAAATCCATTGTTTTGGATAAATACTGACATGCTGACGTCATATATAACAGAAGGCGTGGTAGCCTAGTGGTTAAAGCGTCCGCTCGGCACGCCTAAGACCCGGGTTCGATTCCCCACTTGGGTATAATGTGTAAAGCCAATTTCGGGTGTCCCCGACCGTGATATTGCTGAAAGCGGCTAAAAGCAGCTACAAGTCAAAACATTGATCACACAAGTCGAGTTTTCTGCTGACTGGGCTCCGTCCTATTGCGCGACTTAGTACAATAACCAGTCCAGAATTTGAGGATCAACTCATTCAAATGGATGTATAAATATTAATCAGTATTATTTGATGCATCTAATCACTTGTATATTGCAACACTACACTCCTTCTAATCCTTGCAAACACGTCGTGCAGTGTGCTCTGTCGTACAGCGTGCTCTGACAAACGGAAATCGTGGAAATCTCAAAACGAGTCTCTGCCGCTAGAACAGTTTGGCGGTCTGGTACGGACATTATATTATATCAATCACATTATACGTTACAAAAATACAGTTAAAA